CGTCTGCTCAACACCATTTATTGCTAACTACATGAATTCTGAGATACACTAAGGTTTTAACTTACCACAACACTCACAAAGGCTTTTTGACAAGGGTTCTTTCACTTCTCAGTGCTGTTTGTTAAGAACAGATTCACTTACAGTGCAGAGAGTGAGTTGCTACTCTATCTAAAATTCTAAAGACACCTGGAGAGAAGCAAACATACACCATAGGCAGGAGCCGAGCAGGACTGAGATGAACAGTGAGCATTTTCAGAACTAATCACAGAATTCAAGTTAAGCAATAAGCTTAACGTAAGGCTTACAAAAGCCTAACACATTGTCATCTCTGGAATTCACTGCAACTTCTGTTAGTCCATGCCTTGCTAAAAGGATGCAAGAACGCACATTTACCTGTTTACAATTAGGATACAAACACTTCCTGGTCTGTAGCAAAATCCCAGCCTTTCCCAAACCCCCAAAGAGCCCTTCCCCAAAAGGAACTGGTAGATGCAAATGCCAACATTTGAGCAAACTTTGCATCCCTCTGCCTCAGGTGTGGGGTACAGCCAGTACGACTTCCTGCGCCCAGGACGATGGGAGGATGAGGTAAAAGAAACCATCCTCTGCTTAGAAGAAGCAGCTGTCACTACATACTTGTCTTTACACTCTAGCTATCTGTTGCTGACTGCTGTCAGATCAGCCCCTGGGCTAGACAAGCCCTGGGTGCAGTTCAGGGTTGCTTTGTTCTTACAGACACAAAGAGAGCAGAAGACCTTGATACCCCATGATGAGGTAACAGAAATACTTGAGAGCAGATGAAGGTTGGAGATCAGCAAAGCACTTCACATGAATTTAGTAGCAACCTTACAACCAGTTTGTAGGAAAACATATACGGTATAAGAAAAACAAAAGAAAAAACCTACAAAAACCAAAAGCAAGAGTGCGCTGAGGAAACGTCTGACTTGACATTGAGTCCTATATTAGGGAATTAGGGATGGAAACCAGGTGATTACAAGACCCATTCAACAGTACAGACAACTCAGAGCATTAGCAGAGCATGCCTCTGAGGAATCAAAACAAGCAGGATTTCCCCCATAGCCTCAGCAACGGGAAAAACTGGCACAAGCTTTTCCGGCTGAGGAACCTGTAACAACTGACTTCCCAGTTTACCTTTGCCTTATTTTCCTCCCTTACAAAGCAATACCTGCTTCAATAACACGAATGCCATTCATCTGCTCCATAGGAAGGATGCTGTTCCACTGGTGGATGCCTTTGACTTCACAGATAAGACCTTGAATTCTGCACTTGGCAGTTACGACGGCCAGGTTTACCAGCGGCTCTACGAGTGGGCTCAGAAGTCACCAACCAACACACAGGTACAGATGCTGGATTACAGCTGGGCAACTTCTGCATTAGCCAGAGCAGAAATTGTTTGATTTTCTTCTAATAAAAGCAACACAGATAAAAGTAAATGGAATAAGAGCTTTTAATTCTTAGTATCTCACTCTGAACAATGGCCTGGAATACCCCAATTATGCCACCTATAGTCTTAGCTCAGCCATTGATGACTTACAACCCCTGGAGTACTATAGCTTGTAGCAGGGAGCTGGTCTGTGTGTGCCACCAATGTGGTTTTGGTTTTTAAATTTACAGAGGTAATATTGCACAAAATAAGCTAAAACAAAAGTCTGTTTACAGACAAACTTTACATAGTTTACATATTACGGAACAACATATTATGCAAGAGCCACTAAACACAGGGTATATTCCATCCACTGGTACTTCTACTACGGCAAAACTTATTTTTTCTAATAATATGTTTAACCAGAAAGAGTATAAATGTTAAACAAGGCAATTTCATCCTTCATGGTCTTCAGCACTTTACTTTCACTTCTTAATTCACCCATGTTGTGGAGTAACATAAAGTTCTGCACGATGTAAATAGCTATTGCTCCATTTGAAAACCCATTTTTGCCTTAAGTGAGATTTTTACTGCGGTAATCAGCAACCCTTTGAAATTCTACAGCTGAACACAGAATTTGCCTTCAGCAAATGTTCAAGTCCAAGCATATTTTCTGAAGTTAAATAGTATGCTGTTCCATTTCGGATGAGTATTGTGTACTGGTTATAAAGGACAGCAC